AAAAAAAGAGATTCTAACAAAACTTATATTTTCATTAAAAATATTTACTGTTGTAAAATAATTAAGCGGTAACATTTAGTCTTCCTTATCAATATTATAGGTATGTATATATACCACCTTTTTTAATTTATTTTTCGATTGTTTAAGTGAAAATAATCAGACGTTGTCGGAAACTAAGCACGTGATAAGAATAATGAAGTTACGAAATAGTTGCTTGCTTATCATCCATTTACAAAGGTTAGATGTTTAAACTTTTAATATTACATTTTATACACCACGAAATTAAGTGTAAAGATCAATTAAAAATCATTTTGATAAAAACTATGAAATAATATAATACATTTAATTTCTTGATATTCAAAACATTGTTACAGTTATACCTAAAACATCAATATATTAAACATGCATATATAATATCTACCGGACACTTCCAATTCTTTCATAATACATTTTATATCAAATAATAACTTTGTTATATGACTGCTGAATTTTTATACATTATTACATTGACTCACCGATATACATCATTATTTGATTGAACAATAAATGTACGCAGAGAAAATGGATAAGGTAAAATCGATCATATTATAATGTAAAGAAGACTTTTATTGTTAACCACTACCAACTTAACCGTCATAAAATGTATGCCTACGTCTTGTTGAATGTCTGAACTGGATAAACATACTTCGATTGCAATCCAAATTATAACTGAAAACAATTACGTTTTTTCTTAAAAAATAATAAATCTTAGCACTAGTTGAAATCTATTTGCCTAACTTCGAAAAATAGCACGAAACAATACATACGAGTACATTAAAATATTATTAAACAATCGTTATTTTTTTATTGTTTGTTTATTTTGTAATCCATTATCAAGAATATTATAAACTTTATATATTTTATGTAAGTTCTATAAGCTACATTACTCACTATTTTTCAGTTTTATATATTATTTATATCACTAACATAACCAGATTTTTCATAATTCTTCACGAATAACTAATAAGTCAGTCATTTTGAATAACATACAGGTATAACTTATTTTTACTAATATACCACATACGCTTACATTTAATAACAATGTTAGCTAACCTTTAGTGTTATTGCTGTTACAACTAAGAATAATATTGCAATGTTCGAAATAAATAGATTCCACACCATGAGCAGAACAACACAAAGGAAATCTACGATACGCGCTTTCAATGCAGTTTCGTACAAAAACATAATAAACTAACCACACAATAATAATAACAATAATATAACACGCGTTTACCTATAATAATACATACATGAATGTTTCGTTGAAAACCAAAAACGAGAAATGTACACACTTGACGAGAAATTCACGGGCGTATTTCGACGGCAAGAAAATAACTATGTACTCCACCTACGGGAGTATTCGAAATAGACCGAAATTGAAAAAACCCGTCAAATGCGCAAAGATAATATATTTTATACAGTTATTGTGTAAGAAAATACTGGTGATTCGTTTTATAAAGATACAAAGATACGTTCTTATTGCATAACGTCCCAGAAAATGCTTCGTTCAGGTATAACGGTCTTTACAGTACTGAACTAACAACGAAATTGTAGTTGCTCCATAACAACAAATATATGATTTCCATAATTTGGAACAGTGCAAAAATTGTAGTACTACACTACTACGTTGCAAATGTGAATCGTTTTAGTTATTACGTATGATAACCACATATCATAGGTATCTCACAAAACCTTTAAAAAGTTAATGAAATTTACATACTATCCAAAGTCCAGAAACTTTTTTCAATTTTATCGATTTAAATAGTACAACATAATAGTATATTGATTTTCAACATATGAAAAAAATTCACCGTTAAAAATAGCTACGAAAAAAAAAAAATACTATAAAAAAGATTTTTATTCATACGTCCACCATTATATAGCTATTTTTTATATAACATAATTTCCGTTTAATAAAATCCTAAAATCCTGGTAAAATGTAATTTTATATTTTTACAGTGATTATACTGTCTTCGTTATTTCAAAATATTGCATGAAAAAAAGTGAGCGCTTAATAAGTAATAAATTAAGTTTTTTATTTTTATTTATTTAAAGATAACATATTTTCTAATATATGTATTATGTCGAGTATTGAAATATAAAAATATAAAAATATAATCAATATTGAACATATTTTATATTATTTACTACCCATACACAACGGTCTGTCAATATAATGTTATTAGGTATATACTACGGTGTTAAAAATAAAATAATGATAAATACATTTTACCTTTTAAAATTAAATCATTTATTTCAAAATGTGTACCAAAATGATGCATTTAAATCTGTACTATGTTGTATGTGCCATAGTCAAACGCACTATATTTTAAGTCAATTTTAATTGCAAAAAATAAAATACACTGTTATCATTAAACGATAGCAAATTTAATTTAATTTTTTTAATCTTAAATAACCTCTAATTTTATTTTATTTACAATGATAAGTTTTATCTAGCCAGTTAAAAAAAATAAAAGTTTCATATGGGTTATTATAGTATACGTATACAGCTAATTTTAATGTTCTTGTATCTGGAACATTAAAAAATAAACTTAAATATTTAAAAAAAAAATAAATACAGTGTACTTCACGGCTTGCACTTAATTAACTTAATTATTTTTTCAACAAAATTCAAAGTACATTAGTGTTTAAATGATTTTAGCAAAATCATGATTAAAGCAAAATGTTTTAATTATGTCAAAAGCATATTTATTTAAAACGTTTTAGCGTCCAAGATGTAAGTCTTCAAAAAAATGTTGTCGACTTATATTAATCAAATCAAGTTCAAGTCTTATCTTATAGATAATTTAAACTATAAATTAATAATCATAAAATATAACATTGTTTTATAACCGTTCTAAATTTAAAAATAAAATGTAAAAATGCATAATATCTTAATATCTGATTAATGAAACTTGAAATAATTAAAATTTAATTTGTCTTGAAAATTACTGTTTAAAGATTTTTATCCAACGATCTATAAATTATAATATTTAGGTATTAGCTAAAATTTCAAGAACTAAATAATAAATTTATATGTGTACATTCCATTGAGAAATATTTTTTGAAAATTGATCGACAATATGTTAAATTACATTTTAATAGTTAAACATTTTATTTTTGGTAATATTATAATTATTTTATAAATAAACCTTATTATTTCTTTTCTCCACTAACGAATACATAATACATACACCTACACGCCCGATAACAGAAAACCCTGTAGTGTTGTTTTTTGAAGTGGGCGGTGAAGTAATACAATTGAAAAACACATAAGGAATTAAAAATCGCTGTGAGTTGTTTGTACACAGTGAAGAAAGAATTGATTTTTTTTTTTTTTTTTGGCACTCCTTCGCAGAGAAAATAGGCGCCTGGGGTTCACCGTACGACCAAAAATCTATATTTTCACTTATACACACACACTAAATATAATATATAAATTAAACCATCAACAGAGCAGCATATGTAGATATGTGTACTACAGCCGAAAAGGAATTGTCTCTATTCGTGCAACCAAAATTAAATTATACGAGTCGAAATAATTTATCTCCCACGATGGCACTTCTGCTGTGCGTTTTTATGGTGCGATGCATTATCGTTAAAAACAAAGGAACTCTATATTGTGCGGTTAGGTTTATTTGTTTGGTTTTCTTTTTGTTTTTTACCACACCAAGTCGTTACTATTTACTCATACTTCGAAAATAAAAAACACATATTCTTAATACGAATCAGTTAATAATTATTGCAAAAAAATACTTAAAAAAAATCTATTAAAACGTTCGTAAACTGGAATCGAAGATTTATTTTCGAATGAAGAAAAAAAAAATTAGTAAGTAGTAAGTACGAATACGATATATCGAGAGGCGCATTTTCAGTACCCATACTCGAGATGTTCGAGATGAAACGTAAAGTAGAGGTACTTCCTTAGAATTTCGTAGCCGATAAATTATCGTGAGACGGCGGTGGTGTGCCCCCCCTGTGTTCCGAATTTTCTTTAGTGCACGGTGTACATATTATATACGTGCGACCACGTAATGGGGAAGGGTGGTAATGGAGTTTCCATAGTTCCCACCTCTTTAAAAAAAAAAAATCTGAACATACCGGGATACATAGCTTTAGGAACCTTCGAAATATTATGAATTTCACATAGCTATATCTTTTGACTAGAAAAATAAAATATAATATGTTCCTCTAATAATATGCGAACAATATATAATCTAATGAGAGATTCAAATCTCTATGATGTAAAAAAAATTGCTCATCGTAAACGCAGTAGGTATATCTGTGAATCAAAACGATATCATTCACCAGGTTTTATGCCTTTATACTACGAAAGCATTTTAACAAATTCAATTGAACAAGTTCATTTTCAATATCAAGTACCTAAGATAGTTTAAGATTTAAGAATTCTGGTATATGATTTTAATGAGGCTTAAATTAACTCTACGTCCGCTGCAACACACGTTTTCAGTATCGTACGCGTTGAATACTAAAATAACCTACGGTTCTATTATAAGCACATATACATGAATTTTACACATACTAATGATTTAAATATCTATAAAACAACAATCAATTGAATGACATAAAATTGCAGTCTTATGTGAACAATAAACATATTTATTTGATTATTATTATTTGAATATGTTATCATAATATAACACTTATAGACCTTATAGATATAATAATGTATATACAATATATTTCTAACGTTACTAATATTAAATATTCATTGTAAATTTAATTTTTTTGATGACATTCTAAAATTTAAATAAAATAACGTATAACGGTGATAGTCATCACAGTTTAAAATTTATAGTTATAGTTTCTAATAATTTTAAATATTTGATTTACTTATTAATAGTTAAAGTAATAATACATATTAAATTTATATTTGTACGCAGTTTTAAATATTATTCATAATTATTAACGTAAAGTAATATAGCAAGTGATTGACATACCTTTGATTAATCAATTTCCTGAAAAAATAAAAATAAAAAACATTAATTTTTTATAAAATAAGTAACTTTTACTTTACATATTGTTATTTAGATTTGAATACATTATAATAAATTAATAGTAATTGTGAGGAAACGCAGTTAGGTCATGATAATATAATCTTACAAAACAAATGAGTTAAGTTTTATCAAGCGAATTGTGATTTATATCGGTCGATATTGAGTAAAAATAAATTCATTAAAACTAAGAATAAATTAAGACTAGATACTTACATAATTTTAATTACAGATTAGTTAATACCTAATGAAAATCACATGTAGAGTACCTACTATTATTATTTGAATTAAATTAAATTTCTATAGGAGCTATGAAATGAGATAACATCTAATATCGTATCGTCGTATTGTATTTGTATGAGACGAAATAGAACGAAACTTATACCATTAATCACAATACCCTTATATATTATATAGTTTACCCTAAGATTCGTAGTATGCCACGTGAAATGACAGAAGTGTACTTAAACTTTGAAATGTCTACGATGCAAGTACACTATTGAAGTTACATTTCACTTTTACCATATGAACGTGTTTAATCTCATCCTTACCGAAATAAATAAAATGTGTTTGTATGTAAACTTCACTTTCGATGATAAATAATAATAGTAAATCTGACTAAAGTTTTAACTCACAACAATAATATTTCACAATACTATAATCACACACAATAATTCCCGAAACCATCGGTCTTTCGATAGACTAGTCGAATAAAAATAGATTGAATTTTAAACTTTCCAATGTCGCCATGTACTTGTTGATGTAGAACACAATATATATATTATAATAAACTCACCCAAGATTTGTCTATGGAGTTTGATTTTTATTAAATACTAAACTACAATTGCGATATTAATAATAGTTACCTTAAAATTATTAACAAAATATTACTTTATTACGTTTGAGTAATTCTTACAAATTTTATATCTAATTGTATTCAAACATTCTGTATACATGAACATATTAACTTTTGAAATCAAAAGAGTTTCATGCAATAAATAAATCTTTAAATCTTGGACCTAACCATCTATCGATCGCTCTCTAATTATATATATATATATATATATCTGCTTTTAATAGTATAAATAAAACTCATATCTATACTTATATACATATGTATATACGCGCGCGTAAATGTGTGCGTGTATATTTTTTATTATAAAATGTAAAACAATTATATTATTATAGCCGTTGATTTTAATCAAGCGCATGTATATTTATGTAGAATATTTTATGAGTAATAGCAAAAACGCAAAAACCTGGCAGAGTCGCGTAAAAAAATAAAATCTAAAGGAAATTCAATTATTACTGTCGCATATTTTATCATTAATTTTCTCTCCGTTATTACTACACCTTTGTTATACAGGTACAATATAATTTACATTAGTAGGCATGTACTTATATGCATATATTTCAAAGGTTAGTCACTATCGTCGGGTTCGTTGTGAATTGTGACTAGAACTAGAGACTTATGGAAATTTGCATGTTTTTCAATAATAATTCAAAATATAGCTAAGTAATACATAATTTTGTTTCATAGTACTAAAAGTTTAAAGCAATCATTTTTATTTCGCATATTTTGCATAATAATAAATTTGTTTTTCCTTTTAAGTGTTTATTTTGTTATATTTGTATTTCAATTAAATATTTAATATGTAAAATCTAAGGAAAAAAGTACATATTTCACAAATTTTGTTAAAAAAAAAAAATTCAAAACAAAATGTGATAAAGAAAATAATACTTTATTTTTATTATCCAATATTTGATATTAATTTTCTAGAAATTGAAAAAATAGATTAAAATGATTAAACACTTATGAATTAATAATTTACCCGCCATGTATTTTCCCAATAAGTTGTGTGTTGTAAAAAACATAAATGTGTTGGTCGATAAGGAATACACCGAATACGTTCAGTTGATGTCAATAAAATTCGTCTGTTAATATCACATGTGTTTTTATATAGCGTTTATATATTTAAGTTAGTGTATTATTCTAAATCGTCAATTTTTTTTTTTTTTTTTTGTGAAAATTAAATTAAATATAGCCTATTTTTAATAATGAATAAATTTGTAATTTTTGGGTTTTTAATGAGAAATAAAATATTTTTACGAACATATTTTAGCATTTTTGAATATGTTTAAAGGCATAAATGTATGCATATTTCACGATTTTTTTAGAGCGTGAAGTCTCTAGCCCTAGTTATGAAAGTCAGACAACAATATTATTATATTATTTGTGACTTTATACATCAGTCGTACCAAACAACTGCTACCTGCCAATACTAATTAAAATCATATTGTACTCAATTTGACTTCGTTCCACACTCACTTAAAAAACTCGATGTTTTGCAATGGTGATTGATTGGATGGTATTACATTTCATATTGGTTTCTAGAACAAGCCCTACATATATTAAACGTACCTCCTGGTCGTATTATAAATGTCCGATTGAAAAAAAAAAATTATAATAAATGACTAATGATTTATAACTGTCGGTTTACAAATAATTGACTACAGTGCCTACTACTTTATGAGATAAATTATATTTTTTATGAAATGGTAAATTTACAACAGAGTATGCTTCTTTATAAGAGTATAACATTTTTACATTTCGAATATTTTTTTTTCACGCTGAATCAACTACATACAAATACTGTATGTTATTTTAAATTATAGTGTAGATTATCTTATGCAGTATAATCGTTAATGTAGAAAAATTAGTAATTATAGATTAAAATATTAAAAAATAATTATCGAAGTCTTAAAAAAAAAAAAAAAATACTAAAACGCAGTCAGATAATGAATTATTTGACCTTAAAGAAAAGTTTGAGCAAAATAATGAGCTCTTAAAAAAAAAAAAAAAAAAAAATTTAATACATATTATGTTTTATTTAATATAAAATATTTTTATTTTAGATTAAATTTTATCTACTCAAAATTTAAGAAAAATTATACTGATGATTTATGACACTACATATATTTATATTTAAAGTACCATGCTAAAATTGTAATAATTGTTTTGTTTCACATAACTCGGAAGAGTTGTAAACTATATTAAAAAAAAAAAATCTAACCTTAATCGTTATTAACAGTTGGACGCTGTAGACCCGTTAGGTATATAAATGAAAACTTTTTTAATATTCTCTCAGAAATAAATCATCAGATAGAACTTTAACAGACATAAAAAAAGTGTATTCGATTACCGCTTTAGAGAATTAAAATGTCAAACCTCAGTTATTATAATAGGCAATCGCTTTTCTGCTCAAAAAAATTGTTAATAATTTCGGTATTTATCCTCCTATATAAAATTATGTATACAAAATAAAATAATATATAATATATTTAAAATGTAAAAACATAATAATGCAATTTAAAAAATTCAATGTTTTTAAAAATAAAATAAAACAAACAAAACTTATATTCAAATTGCTACAGTTATTTATGAGTTGTAATTTATGGGCATTATAATGTTTGATGCCTCACTGCGATAGTTAATTTAATTTTTTTTTTTTTTTTTATAAATCTTTAACTTTTAATTTATCATGATAAAAATACAATTTATCTTCGATATTATACTAAACATTAAAATAGTTGAGATTCCTTTATGTAAATTTTCAGATAACATTTAAACTGAAGAATAAAAATAATAATGATGTTATTATTTGTACAATTATTAAAACTATTTTCGAAAATAATTTCGACAATAAATACTCATTATTTTAAAAATGAATAATGTTTTTTTCAAAACATTATCTTATTTTATTTAAATTTATTTTACAATAACATTTGAACGACAGTCAAAAATAGTATACCTATACTTAATAAATAAAAATTGCATTTTTGAACTAGTATTTAATATAACTTATTCACTACCCAGTGGCGGATTTAACGGGAAAAAAATGGACATTTGCCGCCTGGGCCCCTACCCAAAAAGGCCCCCGGACCCACTGTCCTAGACCCCAGTTCTCAGTCTTCACTTATTTTCATTTCATCAAAAATTTTCAAATATAATTAGTAATTTTTGAAGTTTTGGGCGGATTGCAATACACATATCAAGTAATAATTGGAATAATATAATAATAATAATAATTAATAATAATAATATTGTGTAATATATTCGTACTCGAACGTATTGCCTATATACAGTCAACTACGTACACCGGCATCATTATGACTATTTTTATTTATATTGTTTCGAGGGTATTTAAATAATAACGTTATCGCGGCGTCGCGTCGTGCGTTGTATTACAGCGTTGACTTGCGTAATAACACGTCTATTTTTATTTCGGAAAAATTTCTTAGTATTTAATATGGTTATAATTTATGTTATCGTATAAGTCATAAGCATTCCGCATTTTGATCCAGAACGTCGATCGATTAACAAATAAAGCAGATTGATTTAAATCATAAGGTAAGAATATATTAACTGTTAAGGGGGCCTCACTTCTGTCATCAATTTGAGCTCAAAATAGGTAAAGTTTTGACAAAATTAAAGTTAGTTTAAGATGTCCGATTTTGATTCTGAAAAAAAATCTAAACTCAGCAGAAAATTGTTCATAGATCGTACGGAATACTTTGTAAAAATTAAATCTTATATTCTAATGAAATGGTAATAAAAACTTGAAAATATGCATTTTTTCAAATCATAATATTAAATTTAAAATTAAAATTAAAACCAGAATGTTTCGTACGATCTATAGACATTTTTCTGCCCAATTTAAATATTTTTTCAGAATTAAGATCAGACAACGTATTTTTTTTTTATATATATATTGTTTTATTACCTATCTAGTTTAATAGTATTTTAAGAGGGACGGTGGGGGGAGTTTTCCACGAGTAAGTATTCACGACAATTCAAATTATTGGGCCCTTTATATCATATGCCGCCTGGGCTTTTTTCCTTAAATCCGCCACTGTCACTACCTACTATGTACTAATTCGCATTACATTTTTATTTATTAACA